GCTACAAATCGAGTACGTTTCGTGAAAGGCAAATATTTTCGCGGATGCTCTGTCATGAAGCACGGCAGGAGTCCCTGAAGGTGATCCCACGGTTCCTGAAAATGATACTGTTATGTGTGGAGAACAAGAAAAAGATGGGCTCCAAAAACTCAAGGGAGAAGAAGCATTGCGACTATGCCTTCCGTACCCTGATCCTCTAATCAAAGATGAATCCCTTCTCTGTCTTGCACACGATGGTGGAAGCGGACTACCAATAGAGGAATTGAACTAGGTAGTCAATGAGGCTGTAAGACTTGCGAAAGGGAACGATTGAGACGGAATCGTTCACGGAATCGTTTGAGGAGTTCGCCAAAGTCGTAATGATAATACCAGATAGTTGACGTAATGATATTATCGCATAATTAATTCTGCTTTCAAGAGGAACCTTGGCATAAAACGTCGCCTGTACACCAGACTAAGAGTTATCGGAAGACTCTTGGAGAGAACAACAGCACTTTTGTGTGTCCTCGTCTGCCCAAAGTCGGAAGAACCATATCTCAGGCGAGGATTGTTCAAACTAGCGTCCACATTGGTAGCAGCAGCGCAAGAGCAAAAAAACAGCAGTCCCGTAGTCTCCATTCGTGGAGATAAGGCCTACGTGCACGGCAGAGTTGATTTGAATGATACCATTGACTTCACTAAGGCCGCAGAAGTGCTATGAAGGAAGGTTTGATCAGTCTGACTCCGGCTATTTGTTCGCAGAAGCCTTCGCACGGCTCGGGAACTAACCCTAGGGGGTTCAGCATGCACGTATACTCAAGAGAAGTGATCGTAGAATATTTTAAAGCGCTACATACTTATGTGAAGAGAACAGTAGAATGGCGATGCTAGGAACGGCAGCAAGGAGCCGCTCCGCACGAGTGCGCAATTACTCCAAGCAAAAGAGAGAGGCATCTAAATAATGTCGCNTCAGCATGCACGTATACTCAAGAGAAGTGATCGTAGAATATTTTAAAGCGCTACATACTTATGTGAAGAGAACAGTAGACTGGCGATGCTAGGAGCGGCAGCAAGGAGCAGCTCCGCACGAGTGCGCAGTTACTCCAAGCAAAAGAGAGAGGCATCTAAATAATGTCGCGCCTCTGCTAATCCGGAACTCAGCCGTTCGATACACAGGACATGCAAGGAGGGGCACAAGTGAGCCCAGCAATGGTAGCACCGCAAATGTACCCAACCCCGGCGAAAATCCTATTGTACCACCAATGGACATTAGCGACCACCCACGCACACGTGGACGCAGCCTCCGTGGCGGGTATTCTCACAAATCCACAAATAAGCAGTTGCATTAGAAACCTCGTCATAGCTGTTGTTGTAATTGTGATTGCTGTAATTCTGCCAACAGTTTTGTTTGAAAAATTACC